AGAACGCATCTACAGTAACTTTAATTTCACTCCTCATCAAAAGTGATGGACCGGTGAGTCTACAGCTCCTGCTAGCTTTCCCTAAAATGAAGATTCAACTATATTTTGCTCCCGGGATGTTCTGCTTGTATCACCTGTGCTATTACAAAATTTCCTGGAGTGTCTTTCTTGTAAAACTGAGAAAAGCAGAAAATACTCACAGATGTAGAAGCTAAAGGAATGTTTACAAAGTCAATGTGCTCATCAAACATTAATACAACCAGTGGTATTAATCACATTGTTCCAACTTACTTAACAACGACTTCAGCATCAATTTCTTCTATCTGCACAACACTATCTGCCACACACTGCAAACACAAAAAGGTTTCTATTACATGATCAATCACAGCTGGATCGCTGTTATTTAATGCAGCGCTTAGAAACAGATAAAGACTGGACTGTGTCAGGAGGAGTCACACCTGAGAGACGATTGCCTTGGCCGCTACGATCATCTCATCGCTGTAAATATCCAGAAAATCCAGCTTCCGCTGCCGCAGCAGGCCGAACACCAGCGACTCCAGACGCTCCTGAAATCCACAGACAAACGCACCAGAAAACACAGAGTCCTAAAACACTGACATGACCGGGCAGCCACCTCTACTAATTGTTGGGATTTTCTCTCTAATGTTCATAAACTCCTTGACTGGACTGAACTGTGAACCTTTACTTCTTTACCCATTTTCTTATTTTACATCAAAGTCAGCATATATATGCAATGTGTGCGTAGGTTACTCTGTAAGTAGTCAAAACAGTTCAGAACTGTATAACTAAAACTACAGAAATTACAAATAAAACCAGGTTAATGAGGATTTTCGGACAGTGGAGTGTGATACCTGGGATTTTGCGCTCTGGTAGTGATATTCTACCATTAGCGATGGAGTTCACCAGATCCTGAAACTCAGCAGGAACCTCAGCCTGCTTCCAGCGCTCATTGTCCAACAGCAGGCTGCAGGGGCACAAAAACAAACTTCAGCACCTGCACTGCTACGTTACAGGAGTAAGA